TGTTGTCTAAATTTATATCTTGCTTGAAAATATATCGATATATCTTACATAGTGGTTATATCACCCAGCCCTGCTGTATAATCATGTATCCAGGCTTTGATTAAGATTATGAACCCTTTTTTATAAGCCAAAATCTTAGTTGAATCAGACAGTCGTTTCGTTATGTGATGTATTTTGTTGATTTCTATTCTAAGGTACAGTTCTGAGGTACTTGTGCTTAACTTGAATATTGTAATTTTGTATTATACTTCTGCTTAACTACATGTGTCTGTCAGCTGAGTTACAAGTTACTTTGCAGATAAAAATTGTAAAAATACAGTATACAGTAAATTAAACCATCCAGTTATAAATAAAACAGTAGAATCACCTCAATTTCTGCAATATTACATTATTTATTTATATGCTTCATAATAATAATGATCTGTTCGTACAAAGTATGATGATATAAGTGTCACTGAGACCATTGTGCCTGCATAGTGAGTACTTTTACTTTTAAACTCTAAGTAAAATTTGCTGATGATACTTTTGTGCTTTTACTTTAGTCATTTTTTACTGTAATGGAGTATATTTTACATTGTGGTATTACTAGGTTTACTTACTAGATCTGAATACTTCTTCCACAACTGTTTCTGAGCAAGTCCGAGTGAAACTGGAAGCAAAGAGTCACAGATGAGACTCGAGTTTGAAGTCAGTTCAGACTATAACCTGGCCTTTGTCTCCACCCTGTGGCAGGTGTGAGATCTGTGGCTTCACCTGCCGTCAGAAGGCCTCCTTAAACTGGCACATGAAGAAGCACGACGCAGAAGCCTCCTACCAATTCTCCTGCTCCATTTGCAGCAAAAAGTTTGAGAAAAAGGACTCAGTTGTTGCCCACAAGGCCAAGAGTCACCCTGAGGTGCTCATAGCTGAAGCTCTAGCAGCTAATGGTGGTTCAGTAATAAGCAGTCCCACCCTAAACCAAGAGACTGTCCCAGTGCCCACCCAGAAATCAGAGACTGCCCCAGTGCTTACCCCGACCCCAGAGACTGTTCCAGTGCTTAGCCAGACCCCAGAGACTGTCTCAGTGCTCAGCCCAACCTCACAGACTGTCCCAGTGCTTAGCCCGACCCTAGAGACTGTCCCGATGCTCACCCAGCCTGACCAGCCCTCTGTCAGCCAGGAGAAACAGGAAGTGGTGAATACCACGCTCACTCCACTGCAGCAGGTAGTGCTCCCACTCGCACCACAGACTCCAGTAGATGTATCTCAGGGCCAGTTCCTCCAACTGCCCTCGCATCATGTGGTGCAGGTGGCACACCAGCAGCAAGCCCCCACCTTGCTGCACCTTACCACTGCATCTCCAGCTCACCTCTCCAGCATCAGCCACCCCCAGCTCATCCAGCTCTCCTCCCTTCCTGCCAGCACTGTCACATCCATGGCCATTGCGGACCCCCAGAGCACCCTCCTCACCCTGAGCTCCGTCACCACACTGCCCTCCACCGCATCCCTGGCCTCCCAGCAGCCTGTGCAGTGGGGCAGGGGGGCTCATGAGGATGCACAGCTACCTGGGGAGGGTGAGCTGTGGGACAGGGTGGTGGTGGGTGGCAGTCCTCAGGATGTAGGGGACATGATGTGGGAGGCTAACGGGGAGAGGAGGAAGGAAGATGAGGGGACTGTATGGGAGAGACAAGGAGAGAGACAGATCCTGTTACAGTGTGCCGAGGTTCAGGGAGACAGTTTAATCTAGAGAATGAGCTAAACAAGAACTTAATGTAAAGTGTTGATTTTAAAAAGGAACAAAAGACTGAAGGACCTGTCAGAAGTTGATAAGCTGATATTCTAAATATTTAGAACAACAGACTTTATCTCCACAGATTGTAACACAGTAGTCATATACAGTACAGAGCTACTTATATCAGGGGGTATGATTCATAATATTATAGATTACACACTCTTTTACCATTTACTGAATATTTTGTAACATTTTGGTGTTTGTATATATGTGTGTATGTTAACATTTTTTAGAGATAAAAAAAAAGACTGCAAGATGATTGTACATATTTTACAAGAAAGTCACAAATGACATTTAATGTGAATCCATGAGTATCATTGACATAATTGGGTCACTTCTAGTAGTTTCAGTTACTTAAAGGTCCAGTGTGTAGGATGTAGTGGCACCTGTTATCATAAAGGGAACATAATATTCATAGCCATGTTTTCATTAGTGTATTATCATTTGAAATTAAGAATCTGTGTGTTCTGGTTACCTTAGAATCCACTGTGTCTACAGCACATGCATTTTCGCCTTAGCCACTGTGGTTCTCCTACACGCTGGGTACATGGGGGAAGTCTCGGTTGGTTGCACTCCACAACCTCACTGATAGATGCCACTGAATCCTACACATTAGACCTTTAACAGAACAAATGAACTGTGAGCAAAAACTACAACCAAATAAAGATCTCAGTGTCAAAAAATCCTTGATGTAAGATTACAATAAAAGATTTAAAAAAGGAATTTTTAGTTTGTACCTTTAGATAAATCTGTATATATAGATATAAGTAGGTTTTAAAATCCATTGAGAAAGGCGAGATGTTTTCTTAATTGACTTACTGCAGTTGGAAAATAACAGGTGTTCCTAATAAGATTAACCGTGGCTGTGTTCTGTTCAGATGTTCCAGTCAGTCATTACAGTGTGACAGTGAAACAGCACGCTATGCAACAGATTAAAAAAAAAGGCCTACTACCATAGACTGTACACTTTATGCCTATTACCTCATTTTGTAAAGAAAAGATCTACATTACGTTTCTTGTTTGATTGTTTTCACCTTCCAGAACCTGAGCAGTGTCACGTCCCTTCTAAATTGTACTCTTCACAGTAAAGACTATGCAGGCAGTGGTGTTATGATGGAAATAGCTTTTGTCAGTTTCTTTTTCAAGCACTCTTAAATAATTATACCTCTGTGCACTGCCACGACTACTGACCATGTGTAATCTTATGATCTTCATTTATCAGGAAATGTGTTCAGAATAACTGTAATAAAATGTATTCTGAAGTTTATTATTAGAATTATTGACATGCTTTGAAGAATGTGATTCTGGTTCATTTATGTATCAGGGACACAACATCAATTTGATGTATATATACCAGATTTAGTCAAATGACTAGACTAGGTTGATAGACAAACTAGAGTAACCAAAAATCAGATAAAACAACATCAAGGTACATAGGGTAGGTTATAACATAAAAAAGCTAATAAAACTGACACAGAGCAGACACAAGCACATATCACCATAATAACTTTATCCTCCTGAGGTCCTGTTGACGTAGACCTGTTGTCCTCGTTCGTGGACACTTTTTTGTGGCATCTAGTGGTAGCAAACCACAATACAAATCCATGTAAAAACAAGATGGCAGCCATCTCTGCAGCTGATCCCGAAACAAAAGTGGACTAGGTCCAAAACCTGATCCCATTTTATGGTTGAAACTTGTTTATTTATGATTAATAAAGTTTGTAGTTTGACATGGCAACAAATTTGACCAATTTTAGCAACAGTAACAAGCTAAGACGCTTGCTAAGGAAGTACTCGTTTGAAGACATGACAAGCTTTATTATCATCTCATTTTAGGATGTTGGGACTTAATTATAAAAATGCATACCAAACAAAAATTCAGGTCTCAGGAAGTTATATTCATAGACAAAGGACTTAAAGGTATAATCCTAATATTAGCAATCTAAATCAGGACTCCCTGGAAGAAGAGATGTCATATCTAAATGGGACCTACTGGCTCAATGAAGGAGAAATTGACTTTAAAAAACTACATTAAATCAAACATAGCTTTGACATTTCTGTATTTATTTGCCAACTAGGGATGCACAATAATATCGGCACAATGTATCGTCCGATATTGGCTTTAAAATGAGCTATTGGAATTGGCAAACATGCTTTTTCTCATTTTGCACAATGAATAAATATATACACTGAAAAGTATTGTATTTCATGTCTCCATCTGCTGATGGGCCATGAAGATAAGAGTATTCATGTATAATATGATGTTAATTCCACTACAGAAGAGACTTGATGATCACTGAACTTAGGTGGAGTAAAAAATGGATATATTGATGTCGGCATCGGTTATCGACCAAATTAGTTGTTATATATCAGCGTATTGGATATGACATCTAATGTTGTTTATCCCTACTGCCAACATATACACTGATACCAATTGAGGATCCAAATGAATACACCCACTGAAAAATAATTATAATATACATATTCCTTAAAACAATAAAAAAATTGGTGGTACAGTGGTTAGCATTGTCACCTCGCAGCAAGAGGGTTCCTGGTTCGAACAGAGGGTGGGTGGGTTCAAAGTTCAGGGTTTTCTCTGGGTACAGTCCATGTCTATGTGTCAGCCCTGTCTGGTGACCTGTCCAGGGTGTACCCCGCCTCACCCAGTGTCAGCTGGGTTAGGTACCAGCCCACCCAACACTTAAACGGTTACGGAAAATGAATGAATGACTGAATTATAAGTCCATCTTTATTTACAACAATGCCCAGGGCAGCGTCTTCACAAACCATCCAAAAATAAATAAATAAATAATAATAACCGTACAAAAACTGTCCTCTTAACATGTGCTGTATATTTATTTTGTGGGAATGGTATTTTGCTAATAACACTAATTAAATGCATTTTTTTGCTAATTTGTATCCCCAAAAAACATTTTTCTGTATGTATAAGATTAAAAAAACGCACTTTCTAAATGTGTTTTAAAATCAGACTAAAGGAAAAGGGGAATAAAATAAAGTCAAAGGTCTCAGCTCTCCACAGATGAAATAGCTGTGTGCATGTTTGACAGACTCAGTATGTTATTGGTCAGAAAATATTGTGTTGGTTTTCCACATTAGCGTACAGTGACCGAGACAACCCAATAAAGAGAGTATTTATTATTTGAGGAAGGATGGGTGGGCCACATGGTGACGTTTTTGGGGAGAAAAAAGGCCCTCCTGTGCGTCCCCCTAAAAACGCCCCTGTGGCTTGCGGAACCAATTAAATCCCCTCTCGCTGCGTGCATGCCAACATGAACACCGACATAAACACGCTTCATTAACCCTCGCCGTGACGATCTCCGGTTCGCGTTGAGAGTAAGTATCTAAACGGGATGTAAAAACGTTGTTTCGCTGCCAACATTGACGACGTCGGGGGTGGGGAGGGGGGGACTAGTTTCCCTGCTCGGTCTTCATCCAGCTCGCTGCTAACCCACCTATTTAAACAGGGCTGGAGTGCAAATGGCAGAGCAGGAGGAGCAGCAGATAACAGCGCTGGACACGCCGGTGACTGGTCCGTCGGACACGGGGCGAGCGGTGGCTCTTGCCCGGCTATTGCACCACGAATGTAGTCGTCTGCTCCAGCTATTCGTGAGTTATCAGTTTACACACTCGTCCTGCTTACCTCATACTCGTCAGGCGGTGTGACACACTCCCCTTCCCGTTACTTGTGGCTTGCTTTCACACGAGCATGTTTTTGTACTGAGGCTGTAGTAGCTACCTGTCGCGTTTCACTTATGTGTTTTACTGTATGTACATTAACATTCACCAGTGTGCACTTGTGTATTGTTAAAAAAAGGATGCTGTGGTGCAGTGTAATCATACTAAAAGACCCTCCTCCCCCTTCCTCCACCTCCCCTCCCCTCCATTTTCCCTGGGGTGCTTAATGGATAAAGTGTATTGGATTTTTTCCTGCTGTCATGCCTCTGTGCCTCATCTTCCCTTCAGAACACCTTTTAATCGATCAATATAATCAATACCTCTGTCACTCAGTGTTAAATTTGTAATTGAGTTCAAATAAAATTAAAGGCACAAGTGCAAGGCTATACAAGCACCTTGCATGTGTTTGCTCTGCGCCCAAGTGGACACCTCTTCTCTCGTCCCTTTCAGAAAGAAAGGGAGACCTTCTTGTCGGACACCACCCCTGATGGAGGACGCTTGGTGTCCCCGTCCCCAGACTCGGAGGAGCCTAGCACGGAGCAGCAGGTGCGGTTGCTGCACTCAGCTCTGCGGCAGTGCCTGGGGCTGATCCACTGTGTCATCCTGAAGGAAGAGGAGGAGTGGGGTGAGCTGGAGGGCGACTACGAGACCATGAGGAAGAACGTCCGACTCCGCCTGGAGCACCTGCTCTTCAGCACCAAAAGTCTGGTGGAGACCGAGAACATGACCCTGGAAGTCACCCCAGACCATCAGTGCAATGAGGTACTTTGTCATGATTAGTTTTTATTTCTACATACACGCACAGAAAAACACAATGTACTTAAGTATTTTTATGTGAATTAATTTCAAATAAGGTCTACACTGAAAAGCATTCCAAAGGCACTGCTACAAATCTCAAGTTTATCCTGGTAAATCATCACGTATAACCCACTTAAAGTGTCTTGCAGTCTATTTATGTGCAGCCTGTATTTTCCTATTGAATTCTTATTTTGTTGTGTGTGGAACGTTCCTGGGCACAGCGCGTAGGTAAGGTCGAGACTTCATAAATCAGTAGCAACCAGGTGCCAGACTGTAAGCAGCACACATCCAAGAGGAAGCTACAAATATCATGGACACAGCGCCAGAACAAAAAAGACAAGTATAGGGAACGAGAGTAAATCTGGAGTTGGATTTTACTTTCACTTTCAGTGGTGATATTGTTTACCAACAAGAACCAACAATTCCTGCGTAGTATACCTTTAAACATTTTGTGTGTGTATACTCGTTCCCAGTGGGACATCAGAGGCCAAAATGCCCTTAGTATGTCATCATTAAGGTGGCCTGCTTTTCTACATGAAGTTCAGTTTTACATCTACACCAAATCTGTTGGAGACATTCAGCACAAACAGGCTCCACAAAGTAGGGTATTAAGAAGCTGTCAGCCCTTTCTTATGTCTTAATAACACAACAATTAAATGGAAAACCTAAAGCCTCAGCAAGGGTGTGACTAAACCCTGTATTATATGAATAATACCCTGAAGTGAATATGACTAATGCTGGGAACAAAGATTCAATCACTGACATAATGGCTTAGATATCCATGATAATCTTTTGGTTTAGTTTAAAGTTGTATAAATCAATAAATACTTTTATATTAACAATGGATTAAATGTTTATTGTGAAAGCTGCCGCTCCTTGTGATGAAACCACTATCTTAGCATCTTTCAGCTTACTGTTTTGGTTTTCAAACCTTCAACTTTACTATTCTGCTTCTCTTTCATAGCATTATTTGGGCCACAACAGGCAGCTTATTACTGTGTAAAAGCTCTGATTAACCCATTTTACATCACCTGCTCAGCACCCAAACAGCAGGCAGACAAAGTTAGTAACCAGCTGGTTAACACAGTGGAGTATTTAGCAGCTAAACAGACAGATATTTCCCTCAGGAGGTGGTGGAGACCCAAACGGAGCTAAAAGTGAAGCTGAATTTGTCACAAACACAGCTGCAATTAGTAACTTTGACTTAGGAACCAAATAGGAACATTGCCCTTATTCTGAAAAAGATAATATTCCTACTGAGCTGTTTACATGTAAAATGAAAATTCATATATGCCACTAATACTCTTCTTCACATGCAAGTGTGCATACTCCAATTAAGGTGTTCTAACATGTCATTTATCACGTCAAAATAGCCTTCTAAAAGGTGGAACAGCTAAAAATGCTTACCATTTTGCTTCTTCGCATCAAAGTAGGATTTGGTGTTGTCATATTTGCACATATCCAAAACCTTGCACATATTCAAAATGTTTGTAAGTAAGGTGTGTTCCGTCATCTGACCAGAAATGTGGGCTTTTCTTTTGGGCATGCATTTCTACTCCAGCCTTGTAAACTGTTGGCGAGTTGGTTTGTGTAGAACCTATCCACGACAACGCACAGAGCTGACCGTAAATTGACAAGAAGCCGTGTGTCGCAAACTGTGGTTAAAACCCCAGCTGGGATGCATATTCCAAATGCGCTGTATGTATGCCCAAAGACTGTTCCTAAACCCAGACTAATACCGGCATGTTCCACATGTCTTAATCGGAAAACGCTACATTGAGAATAAATTCTAATTTGGGAACTCCAAACGGAATATGCTGTTTACATGACTATTGTCATATTCAGGATGATAGTGGAATAGCCATGAGCATGTAAACCATGTCTTATTTTCTGTTCTGTATCTTGGTATAACAAAAGGCGGTGGACATTAAGTTGCTCTCTTCTGTGTAGGAAACTGATGGCGCTGGGGGAGCTTTCGGGCTCAAAATGTGGACCTATCGAGTGCTGCTGGAGCTAGTCCACTGGTCTGACCATGCTGCGCAGACCCTCCATGTCTTACACACAGAGAGGGAAGGAACACAAGAGATCTGATTTTCTTAGTCTCAATCCAACAACGTCTATGAATGAACTCACTCAACACTAACAGCCAGCTTTCCCTTTCATGTATTCCAAATTGAATATTAAGCAGTGTGGGATATACTCTGTGAACACTAGAGGTTATAAAATGTGCTGCTTAACTAAAATCACAACTAAGCTCCTTTAACAAAGCCCTGTAGACAGCTTTTCCCAGACGTTGGTATTTCCACAGCAAGTGCTAAAATGACCTCTAGTTTGCCTCGGTTGCTATTTCCTTTGACAAAGAAGTGAGTGCAGACCTTTAACTGTATAAAGGTTGGTTTGCTTTGTGAAGTGGCAGAGTTAGACTGTTTGAAAATGTATTTTTTTTGTATACAGTGTGTAATTTATTTTTATTTAAATGGATTTGCCTTTGATGACTAATTATCTGCTGTTCCTAACACTCCAATATCTAAGAAACGCTAGAATGTAACCAAAAACACAACTGATAAACTGTGACTGATGTGCAGCTGAATCTGTAGCCATTAGCTATTTTAATAGATCACTGAGCTTTTAATGTCACACCTTATTAACATATCTAATCTAGATAATTCCATATCAGATCTCGTGTTGTCACGTATAGACTGAATGCTTGTAATGTTTATGGTTCGGCACAATCTGTGATGATCAAGTGTCATGTTTGCTGCTCTGGTCACCAAGTTCTCTCCTGATGTTATACTTGAATATGCTGCTGCACCGTTCACAAGTTTGAACTGTAAATACAGTCGTTCTCAAATCTTTTCTGTCATGCCCCTCTTAGGAAGGAGAGAGGAAGTTTGAGAACCACTGTGGTAGATTTTTAGTTTACAGTAGGAATGTACTGTCTCGCCAAATGTATCAAACACACTGCACTCATGACAAGCCCTTTAACATTTCATCAGTAGCTTTTACAGCAACTGTAGAAATCGTCATTTGCTTTTTCACTAGTTAGACCTCCAAACCAACATATCCTTAATGTGACTTTGACTAGTAGCAATTTCAGTTCTCACCAGTCAAAATGTCAATTCTTGATTCTTAGTTAAAATGACCACTGTAGTTATCTGTTACTTAATTACAACTAATTAGCTTTTACCATTGACTTCTATTCAAAGTCATTTACAGATGATTAAAATTGTAAAAGGTTAAAATTCCAAGTTGACATATTCATAATATACTTTTCCGCAATGTAATTTTGACTAGTAGCAAGTCCAATTCTCACTAGTCAAAATGTTAATTCTTGATATCAATGATTAATTTATTAGTGTGAATGATCATTGTAGATATCTGTAACTTAATAACAAGTCAACTTTTACTATTGACTTCTATTCAAAGTCATTTACAGATATCTATAATTAAAATATTAACGTGTTAAAATTCCATGTCGACATATCCATAATGTAAGTACACTAGAAGCAATTCCAATTAAATTATTTACAATTCATTTCTCACAAGTCAAAATGTTAATTCTTGATATCAATGATTAATTTATTAGTGGAAATGATCAGTGTAGTTATCTGTAACTTAATTACAACAAGTCAAATTTTACCATTGACTTCCATTCAAACTCAATTGCAGATATTTATAATTAAAATTTTAACAGGTAAAAATTCCACGTTGACATGCCAATAATCTAATTTTGACTCGTAGCAATTCCAATTAAAGATATCTACAAATCATTTCTCACCTGTCAAAATGTTAATTCTTGATAATTCTTGATTCTTTGTTAAAGAGATCATTGTCGTTATCTGTAACTTAATTACAACTACTCAGTTTCTACCATTGACTTCTATTCAAAGTAATTTACAGATATCTATAATTAAAATTTTAACAGATTAAAATTCCAAGTCGACATATCCATAATGTAATTTACCATAGTATAATTTTGACAGTTAGCGATTCTAATTAAAGATATCTACAGTTCATTTGTCACTAGTCAAAATGTTAATTCTTCATACCAATGATTCATTTATTAGTGGAAATGATCATTGTAGATATCCGTAACTTAATTACAACAAGTCAGCTTTTACCATTGACTTCCATTCAAACTCAATTACATATCTATATATATCTATAATTAAGTTTTGACGTGTTAAAATTCAAAGAAGCCATATCCATAGTGTAATTTTGGCTTGTCAGAATTGAATTTAAGATGTCTAAAATTCCATATATATCTGTAATGTAGGAACAATGTACATTTCAGCTACTAAGAATATAATTGTTAATATCGATAATTAACATTTTGACTAGTGAGAATTGAGTTGCAGATATCATTAATTAGAAGTGCACCCAGTCAAAATAATATTATGGATATGTCAACTTGGCACTGTAACACGTCAAAGTTGAATTGTAGATATCTTCAATTGAGTTTTAATAGAAGTCAATGGAAGAAGTTGACTAGTTGTAATTAAGGTACAAATATCTCTCGTGAACATTCACATGAGAAATGAGTTGTAGATATTTTTAAATTGCAACTAATTAAAGTTGGATTATTTATGTCAGCTCAGAATTGTAACTAGTGTAAAATTACGTTTGTCCTAGTAACAGTTTTATCTGCAATGTGTACAATTCCTTCTTATAACTAGGCAGAATTGAATTTTAGAAATCAAAAAAGTGCGACCACATCAATATGCGAATTTAACAGCTGACCAATGGCTTTGTGCTACTTAAATGATATGATGTCCACATATTTGAAATGGTTTGTTGATATGCCAGACATATCAGAAATACATTTGTTGACATCTGGAATGATAAATTACATTTCCACTAGTGGGAAATTAATTATAAATATCTGCAATTGTTATTTTTACTGGTGAAAACTGAGTTACTGATATCTATGATTAAATAAAATTAAGATATCTGTATATCACTTTTAACTAAATGTAATTTCTACATGTTTAAATATGTTTTTAACATTGTTAAAATTGTTTTACAGATATCTTTGACTAACATATTAACTAGTCAAAATGACATTTTGACATGTTCAAATATCATCTCCACAAGTGAAAACAAAATGGCTCCTCGTCAGTCCTGCTGATGAAACGTTAAAGGGCTTGCCATGCTGCACCACAACAACTTCATGGTACCGTTCAATGCCTGATGCAGCATAGACCCACTGAGTGAATGAACTGTGACTTCCAGACTTGTTGGTATGGTGGATTTCTTACTGCCGTGTTTTTCCTTTATCTCCGTGATGAATAACTGGATGTGCATTAAAGATTATAACAGTCGTAACCCTTGTGTTTTGTTCACATTAGCTTTTTTACACTCCATTGCTGCCTGTGTGTAATGGTTACATCAAAGATAATGATAACAGATGTGAAATCAATCATTTTTTTTCTTTGTAATTATTTGGTGTCACTTTAATTAAGATATTCCTAATTTCCTAGCTGTGAAATTACATATACTGTATATTGCAGGGACAATTAAGACAGGATTTTTATGGTCTCCTTTTGTCTTCCAAAATGTCCTCCTTGGACAAAGAGATCTGTGTTATACTATATTCTGCAGAGTGATTCTGCTTATCTTTGGGGTCAGGTTGGATTCAGTTAAAACTTATCGTATTAGCACATATTTTTGGGATTTGGGGGAGTTGTCCTGCACCCAAAACTAAGTCAACACTAATCATACACAGAACATATGAATTTACATTGTATTTAGCCATGTTTTACACAGTGGTGAAAAGTAACTAAGTGCATTTACTCAAGTACTTTAGTTGAGTATTTCCATTTGATGCTTCTTTATATTTGTTTTTGACTCCAACACATTAATGTGACACCTAGAATGACTAGTTAATTTTCAGATTAAATTTAGCATAAAAAACACAACAAATATAGAATATAACACGTGGGCCTGTGGGCGGACTATGAGACAAAGGGTCCCTGGGCACAGATATGTAAAAGGCCCCACCACTTCTCCCACACAGGAGCAAGACACACAGACTATGTTGTGATTTTGCATCTTTTTTTTGTGCGTGTTTGTAATCGTTATGCATCTGTTTGGGGTTTTGTGTCTCTCTGAGGTCATTTTTTTTGTGTTTTGGTCATTTTGTGTCTGTGGTTGTTTTGCCTCTTTTTGTAGTTTTGTGTTTCTTTGCAACTCCTTTGCAACTCTTTGTGGTCTTTTTGTGTCTCTTTGTAGTCATTATTAAACTCTTTCTGGTCAGTACATATTAATTTGAATGGCATTTTGCAGGTGAAGGCCACGGGTGCCCCCAGACTCTTTGGGCCCATGAGCCTGTGCCTGGTCAGTCTGTGCAGTAATCCATCCATGCCTGAAGCTCTAAAGCTTGGGATACAGTGGACTGAAACTATTAACCTTATAGAAAACTAACTCCACCACGACCAGCTACAACAGTAACATTCAACTCATGCATTGCTGCATTACTATTAACAATCTAATAATGTTTTTCATAATACCCCATTCCTACAGCTTAAGGCAAGTGGGATTTAAGATTTTTTTAAAGACTTATTGCCACTCAGAATGAAATCTAAGACCAATTTTACAATACGCAAAAGTGAAGAAAAGACAAAACACTAGGTACTTGGGGCAGGGGAAAAAATTGCCAAAATATTTATTGTAACATTAAACCTTTTGGTGACGTTAACGTGAGAAGCATTTAGTTAAATATATATATATATATTATTAAAGGATACCACTCAGTATAACTCATTTTCAGGTTGTACAATGCAACATCAGAAAAAATGTGATTAATAAAATCCTACTTTTTCTAGTGATGTGTTTACATTTGTTAAGGTTATCATTACATCATCTGCATAAAGCGCTAATTTATATAATTTTTTCGTCTTCCCCCATTCTTATTTCTTATATATTTTTGTTTTGTCTAATCCTTTCACCTAAGGGTTCCATACACAGTGCATGCTTTGTGGTGAAAAGGGATCACTTTGTCATTGACTACATTATTTTTAATGCTGTTATAAATTTATTATGGAATCCAAAAGCCTTGCATGTATCAAATATGCTGTGACAAACTGCTGTGACAGTCAGTTGAAGGCTTTTTCAGCGTCTAGGGTCAACATTAGCATCTGCATTATTAAGGCTTTTTAAAGATTTATTTAAGACATTTTTAATCCCAATTGAGGCAGTATTTTTTTTAGATTAATGCCTTTTAAGACTTTAAGGGTGAGCAGGAACCCTGAACATAATGTATAGTTGCAGAGGACATTTTTCTGCAGAATATGTGCTTTTACTTGTGATACTTGTAGAACATTTTGTTGATAAGACTTTTGTACTGTTATGTAAGTAGAATTTAAATTACAGGAGTTTTATTTGTGGTGACATTTGTGGTGAAATATGTCCTCGGGTTAACATCATGTTTACAGGAAGTTCTGATAAAAATAATAAATATTATTAAGTATCAAGATAGTAAAACAATGTTAGTTGCCTGTGCTGTTGAGCTGTGAAACAGGGCCCAGTGTGTCTGCAGGACCCTAAACACAACACCAGGATTAACCAGTGTGTGTCTGTAGGCTTCACTTCCATCTGAAACAGGCCTACTTCTTTTCACAGCATTGATTTCACTGCACTTCCACGTGAATAAAAGATAACACGCCCCGCTGCACAGCTCCACAGCTGTATTTTCAATCACTGCATCCACCAAATGTGAGTGTTGAGGTTAGAGGTTTCCCTCAGAGGTGGGTGCACCCCATTTTACCATTAGAACCCCAAAGGATGTTGTGCACATGCGCGTTGTGCAATCTACCGGAGCGCGAGAGGTAGGGAAGGGAGTCCTAATGGCGGAGAATGTACGGTCGCCTTTTGACTACCGGGAGCCACCGACCCTCGACAGCGACGGGGATGGGAGCAAACCGCCGCCGCCACGGGGGTGAGTGAGCACGGCCGGCCTCCGGTTTGCCCTCGCGCGGGGTCGTTTTCACCGGGGATTTGTGAGCAAAATGCAAGAGCCTGAGACGCACGCGCTGTGAGCGTGCACGTTTGTTTAGTTAACGTTAGAAGCCTTTATTCGCGTGCATGATTTGAGCGTTATAATGGAGAAAACGGAGCAGGGGAAGTGGTTTTTCTGTGATTTTTGGTTGCGTCTGTCGTGTCCCGTGGGGCTGCGTCTCCCCCTGGCCGCCTCGGCTCACATTTAACCGCCAGCCTTTTATTTCTTGATGTTTTGACGGGACATGAGTCTGAGCGTTAGCTGCTAGAAGCTAACAGGCTAGCTGTGGTTTAGCATTCACGTTAGCATGCACCCAGCAGGAATCATGAGCTGTGTATGTCGCTGGCCAGTCATCGGCTCTCTTGTCGATGTCTTGCCCTGTCATGTCAGGCTTTTTAGACTGCACATCCCGGAACATAATATCCAGCAAACCTCGTCACGGCGGTGTTATAATGGTCTACACACTGCTTGAATGCTCAGCTGGTGCAGATCATGACTCGTGGCTTGTTTGGCTTTGAGTAAACAAAGTTGCTGACCATGACTAAAATGCACCCGAAAACAGTTGCCTGTCACCCGGCTCGCTGAATTAGGGACGCTTTGTTGTGCTAATCAGTCCTCTGTTAGTGCTTTTATTCATTTATGACGTGATTGCTTAAAGGGGTGGGGCCATGTCCAATATTTTGATTAAAAATCATACTGATGATCAAGATAGCTGAAATCAGTTTCCACTCCAGCTGCCTGGCGACACAAGATATGAGTTCCTCAATCATGGTCATTGATCACCACATCAGATCAGGGACTGATTTACACCTGGATTGTCAGGTAAACCTGCTGGAAGCTAGCATTCATGTGGTACCTAATCACCTAATCACCATCCTAAGATAAAGGATGGTGGTCAGGCTGTAGTTATTATAGTGTCTGTAAAATGCACTTAATGAACTGACACCTGTGTGCAGTCAAAAACATGTAGTGCAGAAATAATCGCTGGATAAGACAGTAGACAGATATTGTCAGTAATTTTAAGTGTTAAGTCCTAAGATTGATTTTAGTTGCCAGGTACTATATTTGGGAAGCAGCTCCTTGGCTTCTCTGATGTGTACATTTTCAGAATAATGCTGGTTGCCTGTAAAAATACAATAATGAAAAAATGGTTACATCACACCACTTTAATTAACTGGTTTAAGGTGATGCATGAAATTTATATTATGGAAAAATCAACCTTTGAACTGAGACTAAAGACAGCTTTATTTGAAAAACATTGGAAAGGGTGGGCTGAATTTATTAAGCCATATAGAACAGACTTCAAATAAAAGTTGTATAGACAGTGCTGGCTGATGTACCGAATGAATCAGTGTACTGTTGTTAATATCCTGAATGATGTTAACTCTATGTGTCCTGTCCTGCTGTGAGCTCCTGGAGGTGATGCCTTCAATGGGCAACTCAGTGTAAAACACCCAAACTAGATACTCCAAGAGGTGCAGTGATACACTGTGATACTGCCAGAATCCTAAGATTCGTCATAGATTAATGGTCTTTTAATGGTAGAATTAATCAGCAGACTATCTCACAGTAATTAATTAACACTAAGGCCAAATTATGCGCCTTGATGTAGGTGATATGTCTCCTTCACCTTTTATATATGTTTCAGGGTCTGCTTTTCTTCTACCATACTCTGAATATCCAAGCCTCTTTATATACAATATGTAGGATGTCTACAGATGAAATTTTCTAAATGTCTTTGTTTTGGTTGCTTGTCAAATCAAAGTGGATCTTAAGCAGAAAAAAACAACAGGCACCCCTGCTGCCATCATCACTAGTTAGGTAGTTCGTAGCCTTATTGTTGTTGTGGATGAGTCACCTACCTGAGAGAAATGTTTCATGAACAGATTAAAATGCTGCTTTGCCACAGGTATCACATGCTTGGCTCATTTCGGCTGCCCTCCGCTGGAATATTTACAGGAGGAAAGTCTCGAGCGCCGCTTTGTCTGAACGTATCATTATGCTAAATGAAGCTCTGGTTTTGTTTTTACAGGCGAGTGTGTGGGAGAAAAAGGAAGGGGACACCTGTGAAGGTGTGTGACCGAGCGTATGTAACAGAAGATGAGGAGGAGGAGAGCATGTCAGAACACAGCTACAGCCCTGGTATATATATATAGAAACACTCACACACATTTTGCCACCTGCTGTCTGTGTTGTTATCCACTCTTGTGCTTATAGAAAACAAGTGTATTGTAGTAAGGAGAGCCACCTTCCATCTATCAAACATAAGGCCTGTGGTTTGTGATGAAGCACTTAAGATGTGCTACATTCTAATAGTCCACTCTGTCCC